TTTTAATAGCCCAATGAATCTCCAAAAATTAGAATGAGAAAGCATTTATGGAAGTAATTTTCACAATTTAATTATTGAATGTAACGCTATAAAGGAGACTTCCACAGTGAACTATATGTGTAGGCAAACTTAAGGTAAGTTGTTCGATGTTTAGAATTGTTAGTGAAAGGACTTTACTTAAATATTACCATTACTCAAATGTAGAAATATGTGTATAAATAATAATAATAATAATAATAATAATAATAAGAGATGATCTAACGGGTTGTGGCTTAGTTAGCAACGCAAGCTGAGTATATAAGAAAAGCTCTCGGATTCGATCTCCACTAAATATATCTGAAGGGAGGGGCGAAAGATTTTAACTGTGATTACGAACCGGTTTAGACGGTCTTCAGTCTTTGATAATAAATCTAGATACCAGTGGTCTAGATAAAAAAAGATAAAAAGAGATGAAAATATCAAGAAAAAGCAAGAGACAAAAACATAATAATTATTATATGTAATAAGAAACAGCTTGGAAAACTAGCAATCTAATAATGACGTTATAGTGATGCTAAAGCACGCTATCTTGATAGAGATGGCAAATTGACTCCATTCGCAAACTGTCTTGATTTCATTCATTCATATTTGATTCGTAATTGGCCAGAATTTACAAATACAACTTAACGAGAGTTAGATATTCTTTTTTAATTTAAAAATCAAATCCAACCAAACTGTGTGATTCAATTTGATCTAATCTAGTTTAATACTGCAAATAATACATTTCATATGTTAATTTAATTTCTAAATTTATTAACTTCACGTTATATATTTATGTTGTTCTACCAAGAAAACTATTCATATGAAAACTTTATGTTTAGAACATTTTTTTTTTCTTTGAAATACTTGTCTTTAAACTTATAATCTCTGACACAAACTTAATCCAAAATCATGTTGCAAGATATTGTCTGCTTTTAATCAAGTTCAATTCCACTTCGTCCTTATGCGTACGATTTTATTTTTAAAAGTGATGATTCTTCACCTTCAAAAAACCTTTACAAATTTAAAATGTGTTAACTCACCTCATCCCTTATCCATCTCTTCTCTTGAACTTATCTATTGTGGGATTCACCTAAAAGGAAGCTAACATCTCAAGCTAACAACTCATCTCATGCGGATGTTACAAAAATTATCAGACATAACTCCAGTTGATCCAAACCTTAAATAATTTGAATCTAAAGTGACCAAACATAAATCTATCTAACTTAATTCATATGCAACTTCTAGATCTTGATAATCTTTTATTGTTTACTTTTATCTTTCTAAATTTTAAGAAAATTAAAAAATTTATATCATGAAAATTAAGTATAAATTGAACTTAGTTCAATTTCTTATGTTTAATGACAAATATAACACTACATATAGACATAATCTGATAATAAATATAAACATCATTTGAATATAAATTCAGATTCGATTTCCCGCTTACTTAATAAACAATAATAAATCTAATTATTTGAAGTGCACACAAAATTATTATGCCAGGGAAAGATGATGAAAAATATATTATATTGGATGAATGAAGAATTATGATCTAATTAGGTAAATATTAAAATGGATGAAGGTGGAATGAAACCTTCAATGGTTCCAATGTCTAACCACAGACAGTGACTGGGGATAAGAATAAGGTCACGCATCAAAATCTCTCACTTTTCAATCCTCTTAAACCATTACTAATTTTACACTTTATTCAAAATATAATAAGTGTACTGCCAGATCTAATGCGTTAATTAAAGCAAAATTAATAAAATAGAAAATATAATATTAAATGGTCTAGGGTTAAATTTAAAAAAATTTCAAATTAAAACCACTGAACCAATTGCTTGAAAAAATGGCAAAAACGGAATTAATGGTTATCCTTTCAATTTTTTTTTTTTTATATACATGGAAGGTCCAATAAACCAGAATAATATTGCAAGCTATACAACAGAGAGTATACCTCCATTTTGAATAACATTTGCTAAATGATAATAATTTTTATAATGCAGAAGATTCAAATTCGAGATTTCTCACTATCTACATTTTCTATAAAATATAAGAATATCAACTAAATCACTCATGATTGTCATCTTTTTGAATATTTTAATATTTTTATTGGATAATGTACGGTTCATGCACATTTGTTTCTTAACTTACAAAGAGATCACATGGGGCTAAACAGTGTAACTATAAGCAACATATCGGAGTACTGTACTTTTATATATAATTCTCAGCGTATTGGTATATTAATTAAGCTCCCGGAAGATTGAAATGTTAAGCTCCCGGCAGATTGAAATGTGAAGTAATATATTTTAGACTTAGAGAAGAAGCTTCAAGTTAGGGCATTTAATGCAAATTAATTTATCTCTTGAATCTAGATTATTTAATAATTTAACTCTAATTCCCTTGTCAAGTTGGAATAAATCCAAATTGCAACTTATTGAATCTTAAAATCTCAGCTTCAATCATTAGATTAAAGTGTACTTTACAAATAATTTTATTTTAAAAAAGCATCTTTTTTTGCATTTTTTTTAATATATTGCCAATGAAATACTTCATCTTTGCTTTTTTTTTTTTTTAAAAAAAAAAAAAAAAAAGCCAATGAAATACTTCATCTATTGCTTTTTTTTTTTTTTTAAAAAAAAAAAAAAAAACAAAACAGTTTAATTTTTTTTTTTTTTTAAAAAAAAAAAAAAAACAAAAACAGTTTAATTACATGTTTTGTAGAAACAAATGTCTGTTTCAAATTCTTTGGCTTGTTTCTGAATTTAATTATTACAAACTCAACCTTATATTTTAAAACGAGTTCATGAATAATAATTGCACAGTATATTAATAAAAATTTTAAAATATAACTATTAATAATTCTCGTGGTCATTCAACAGTTGAAAATAAATAAAAAATCTCTGAATTACTATCTAAAAAATCAAAGCTATTTTCTTTATTTATTTTTCTTTTTTGTATTACTACTATGAATATCCCTTTTTTTTTTTTTACAACCCTCCCATGAATATTTTTCTATAAATCGAACTTCTGATCTCGCAGAAATCATCTAGTCCACTAAATTTAAATTTGTTACTCATAAATAAATTCTTTTCTTTATTACTGGAAGGATAAGGAAAAGGAAATTGAGTAAAGAAGCATTCTCATTTTTCATATAAAACGTATAATCCAAGAAGAATACATGCATCTTGACTTTATTATTTTAATAATTATTGTTAATTGAAAAATAGTAAAATTTACCAAATAAATGGGAAACCTAATTGTATAGATGTATTGATAAGTCGCATATATATAGCGTGGACTTCTTGTCATTTTATGAGGATTGAGTGTGAATAGTAACTATTTGAAAACAAACCAATCTTGAACTCCTTATAAAGATCTTTACATTTCCATTTGAAATTAGAGAAACTATAACACATCAAATTAATGCTCACCTTGAAATTTAAGACCAAAATGTGTTTACTATATATATATATATTATATATATATATATATATGGCGTGAGCAAACTGAGAAAAACAAAAACGAACCGAAACTAATTTATATGGGTGAGCAAACTTTGAGAAAAACCAAAAACCGAACCGAACCTAATTCTCTCGGTTTCTGATTCGGTTATCCGGTTTAAAACCTTTGATAACTTTCATTTTTTGGTTTTTGGATCGATTATTTCAAAATATTTATTTTCTGAGTAAAACTGAACCGTTTGATTGAATTAATATCTATCAAACTGAACCGACCAATTTGGTTCGATTTCAAATAAAATGCATTTTCGATTTTCAATTTCTACGGTTCAATTTGAAACTGAACTGCCCATTTGCACATCCCTAATTGATTTAGTCATAGGCTTCATTTGAAAAAGTCTTATAAGTCTGTTTTAAATTTAGATTACTTCTTAGTTAATATCAATGATCTAATTAGATTATGAATGCTACAATAACTTCGATCCATCAAGTTAGGATTTGAATTAATAGCTAGCTAATAATATGTTTCTTCCCTTTCTTATACGGTGATTATGCGATTTATTTATCTTATAATACAAGTGATTGAAAATCAATTACTTGATAAATTATTTGATTTTGACAATAATTTCATTAGTATTAATATTAAATCAAAACTCGATATCTCATATACTTAAAATTGTTTTCAAAAAATAAATATACTTAAAATTAAATATTGTTTCTGAGGATTGACTTATTCAATATACAATTCAATTGGACATGTCCTCTCTAAAGACTCGTTTATGTTGCAAATTTAGGAAATGGCCCCCGCCCGACAATAATTATATGCGAATGGTCAGGTCAACTTCAAATTGAATGATTTCTATAATTATGAATTTAAAAAAAAAAAAAAATTTCTTTAACCTTTTTATTTTTTAGGCTGGTTCTGTCCTCACAATTGCATGAGCTTATAGCTTAAATTTCAACTCATATTACTAAAAAACAAAAGAAAAAAAGAAAAAAAATGTAATGATAAAACCGTGTATTTTTCTTTAAAATTTTTCTTTAAAAAAAAAAAGGAAAAATAAAACTAAAACTTATAAAATAATTTAGCGTGACCAAATTGAAAAAGGAAGAGAGACATGGTACAGCTGTATCTCTATTTGCCTACAAAATCTTGCATCCAAATAAAGATTTAAATAAAAACAAAAATAAAAACTTTATATAAACCCCCCATAATATCTTCCCCAACCTAGCAACATTTCAAGTTGCAGTCTTTCTACACTTAAACACAGAAGGCAAAAAAAAAAAAAAAAAAAAAAAAAAAAAAAAAAAGAAGAGAAGAAGAAACGCCAATGGATACTGTTATCACTCTCTAAAAGGACCCATTAGCCTTACTCTTCTCTTAGTAATTCCTTCTCTATTACTTACTACGTTCTAATTTCTCGGGCTTCGCCGGCGATTACATATCCACCGGGCCCAAAAGGGTTTTACCAATTATAAAAAAAAAAAAAAAAAAAAAAAGAAGAGAAGAGAAACGCCATGGATACTGTTATCCACTCTCTAAAAGACCCATTAGCCTTAGCTCTTCTCTTAGTAATTCCTTCTCTATTACTACTACGTCTAATTTCTCGGCTTCGCCGGCGATTACCATATCCACCGGGCCCAAAAGGGTTACCAATTATAGGCAACATGCTTATGATGGATCAGTTAACCCACCGTGGCTTAGCTAAACTAGCTAAACAATACGGCGGTCTTTTCCACCTTCGCATGGGTAACATACATATGATGGCTGTTTCGTCGCCGGAAATAGCCCGGCAAGTATTACAAGTACAAGACAATATATTTTCAAATAGACCAGCCACCATAGCTATTAGCTATCTTACGTACAACCGCGCTGACATGGCTTTTGCTCACTACGGACCGTTTTGGCGGCAAATGAGAAAGCTTTGTGTAATGAAACTTTTTAGTAGAAAACGAGCAGAGTCCTGGGAATCCGTTAAAGATGAAGTTGATTGTATGATAAAAAAGGTTGTTGAGAATAAAGGGAGAGTACTTAACGTTGGAGAGTTAATATTTACCTTAACTATGAATATCATTTACAGGGCAGCGTTTGGTTCTAAAATTGAAGGGAAAGATGAGTTCATAATGATTTTACAGGAGTTTTCAAAGTTGTTTGGTGCTTTTAATATTGCAGATTTTATACCTTGGTTAGGTTGGATTGATCCACAGGGTCTTACTTCTAGACTTGGCAAGGCTCGTAAAGCACTTGATAGATTTATAGATTTGATAATTGATCAACATATGGTTAAAAGATCTCAAGGCATTGTTCCTGATGAAGATGGGGATATGGTTGATGATTTGCTTGCTTTCTATAGCGATGAAGCTCAAGTTAATGAATCTGATGATTTGCAGAACTCCATTAAACTCGCTCGGGATAACATCAAAGCTATCATCATGGTAAGTTTAAGCTTTCTCTTCTGTTGGTAATTAGGTTTGGTTTTCCAGTTTTAGTGATAACATCGATAAATGGGTTTTGTTCATTGGGGACCACTCGTTGGGTCCTCAACTTTTTAGAAATTTAATTCTTTTTTTAATTTCTTTTATATTTTAAAAGATATTGATATTAGTTTTTCATGTTTAAAATTTGCAAATTTTTTTTGTTAGTTGGATCCTACTTGAATTCCAACTAGTAAGTTATATCTATACTTCAATATCACTAAAGCGTAGTTTATCATTAGTCTTACCAACCATGACTACAATTAGAGTTATTGTCACAACTCTATTTAACTTGAAATGGGTTGTTTTTTTTTTTTTTTTGAAAAGTACTTGAAATGTGTATTTAAATCATTACTAATAAATTTATCTCAAATTGGTATTTGAATCATTATTATATGAGATTACGTATCTAAACTATCTGTAGAGTCTAATTGATTAAAAAGAGGTAAAATTTTGAATAAAAACTCTAAAAAATTACATATTTCTCTTACAAATACCATAATTTTCAACATCAATATGTCATAATTTGACCATCAAACTAGTCACTATCTTCTAATTCGATTTGCAGATTTAAATACCATATTATATTATTTTGAATCAAAGACGTTTGCTACACATTATCTCATTTTACATCTTAAACAAGTAATTGGATTTAATTGCATGAACTTTACTTGCTGAGCTAAAAAGTTTTAATTTAAATTTGAGTACCACGTGTTGGTATGTTCATTGCATGGCAGGATGTGATGTTTGGTGGGACAGAGACGGTGGCGTCGGCCATAGAGTGGGCTTTGACGGAGCTGATGAAAAGCCCAGAAGATATGAAAAAGGTCCAGCAAGAACTTGCAGAGGTGGTCGGTCTAGAGCGGCGCGTGGAGGAGAGTGACTTTGAAAAGTTGACGTTTTTAAAATGTACACTTAAAGAAACTCTTAGAATTCACCCACCAATTCCACTTCTCTTGCACGAAACATCCGCCGACGCAGAAGTCGCCGGATATTATATTCCGGCGAAGTCTCGGGTCATGATTAATGCATGGGCTATCGGAAGGGATAAGAATTCATGGGAGGACCCTGATACGTTTCGGCCTTCGAGGTTTATGAAACCAGGAGTTCCTGATTTTAAAGGGAGCAATTTTGAGTTTATTCCATTCGGGTCGGGTCGGAGATCCTGCCCTGGTATGCAACTCGGACTTTATGCTCTTGATTTGGCTGTGGCTCATCTTCTACATTGTTTTACATGGGAATTGCCAGACGGGATGAAACCTAGTGAAATTGATACCAATGATGTTTTCGGACTCACCGCTCCTCGAGCGACCCGACTCATTGCGGTTCCTAACCCACGTCTATTGTGTTCTATTTAAAAAGAAAAAAAAAATTAAAATTTATACACCTGGAGATAAAGGAAAGGAACAAAATGAAATGAAATTTGGAGTTCATACAAGTATTTAAAAAATTGGTGAAACAAACAATTTTTTTGTTTATATTATATATATATATATATAATATATATTGGAGAAAAGGAAAGAGACGAGAATAATGGTTGAAGAGTTAAGAAAATGTGGAAGGATTTGAATTTCTCTTTCTTCTTCATAAGACTTTCATTATGATATTTTTATGTGAAAAATGTGTCTTCTTATTTCATCTCTCCTTTCTCTTCTTTTTTTCTATTTTCTTTTTTCTATGGCACTCAATAAAGTTTGTATGTTCATGTTCATGAAGCAAAGCAAATTAAACACTTCCCAAGTGAGAAAGTGTCTGTTTTTATGTTTTCTTTCATGTCTTTTTCTTTATTCATTATATTTTTAAATTAGTTACATGCTAACATTAGGATTAATTCAACTACCTAGAAAATGATTTTCCTTTCTATTACCAGAAAGCTATAATTCTACATGGCGATGACAATTTTACTCGACTTGGCAAGTACTTGATCTGATCTGATCCAATTTCTTCGTACCTCATTTGTATGAGGATCAGGGGTGCACGAAGTTCTACCATCGATTAGGCTGGTAGGGTTTTGAAGGTGCCACTCGGGGAGTGGGCTTAAAGGGTTTACCGATGGAGGGCTTGCTTGAAAATTGGTTTTGTGGTTTTGCCGAACGGACCAGGCTTCGTGTGTCTGTTGAACCGGGCTTAAAGCATGCTAAGTGCCGAACAGACCGGGCTTGACAAATGATATGGTGACAAATGGACCGGGCTTAATTGACAAAGTTTTGAGTTTAGTGTTTTATGCCCTAGTGCTTGTGAAGTGGCCGGATTGGAGCTCCATGGTGTTAATTGACCAAAGAGTTCGAGTCTCTCTCCAAGTAAGCTAAGGTATGGCACGAGGACTCGAATTATAGTCTTATATTTTACTAAGTTAATTACGAATTATTATTTAATTCTTAAATCAATTAATGATAAATTAATTAACTAATAGCTTTAGTCTAAGGAAGACTAAAGTGTAAGTGAAAGCCAAAAGGATCTACTTTTGAGTACCAAGTCAGGCCTTAACTCAATTAAGGAAGAAGAGCAAGGTCGGACTATATTACTTATCATATACAATATTATAAAATATACTTTATAACATAATTTGTATTGTAACAACCCTAACAACACTTGGTAGGTGAAAGCCTTCAACAAAAACAATTTAGAAATACTAATAAACGTGAAAACTAGCAATTGATGTCCTATCAAACTTGGATTCTTTTGGAGTGGGCAGTGAAAGCGAAGTGAGGCCTTTCTTTGATCTTCTTTCCACACGGTATGATAGGAAAGTAATACCAATATTTGTCAAAACATATTGGCTTGTAAATTTTAGATTTCACATTTCATTTCATCATAACGTCCCATTAACTTTATCTTCAATCTTCAACAACATTTGATTTGGACTTGAACACCATCCATTTTGATATATTGTTTCCTCCCCTTCACCCAAAAGGGGTCCCATCAATTTCTATGCTCTCTCTTTCTCAATCTTTCTACATTTATGTCTATCTCCAAAGTCGAGTAAGCTCTCTTAATAACACCACCGACTTGTAAAAATCAGAGTGACTAATAAATATTGGAAGATGGAGTATTGTGTTTATGGATAACATCATCACTGTATTTATACTTTCTCTGTTTTAAAATATAAATCGTTTAAAGTTTTTATATATAGATTAAAGAAGCAATTAATTCTCTTAAATACTAATAAAATCATAAGTAACTTGACCAAATTACTATTTATCTCAAAATTAAGAATAATTTATGAAGATAATTATTGTATCTAACACAAATAAGAGTAATATTAAAAAAAATATCATTTATTATTCTTGAAAATATTCAAAACGATCTATATCTTTAGATAAAATAATCATCCAAAAATAAGTTATATTTTGAAATGGAAATAATATTCACCGATAGGTTTCCATATCCACTGCCGTGCTCATCTCCATTTCTATTATTTGCACCCACTTTTAGCAGCATGTCAATAGATTTTTTTAAAAGAAATGAAGAAGCTGCCGTCCCCTTAGGTCGTTGACTAACTCTGTGAAAACGGATTCTCTTATGTGCAGAAGTTAGTTATGGTTGGGTGCAAAAAATCTGTGGACATATGGTCCCAATGCCTAGCTAGCTAATTAAGAATTGTCGTTTTGATCCAATCAATACCAAATGTAGTGTACACTTAGACATAACTTTTTATAAAATTTGAATCTCTTGCCAATAAATTCATATGGAGATCTCTCTCTTCGATTGTGAAAAGACAAATATTATATTAATTTTACAAATTGTTTCCTAGTTGCTATAAGCATAGAACACCTATTACTAAAATAAGAAAAAAAAAAATCAATTTTAGATAATGCATAAAAAAGTACTCATGAAAATTTCTTGACTATTTTGGAGTATTACTATTATTATTGTAAACTGAATCAAATTGACATTGTCGTATTAAAAAAAAGATGTATAAAGTATTTCCTGTGAGTTGTAGCTCAGTTATCAACGGCAGACTAGGCGTCAAAAGAGCTCTCGGATTCGCTCTCCATTAAATATACCTGCGGGCGAAAAATCTTAACTGTGACTAAGCTTCAAGTCAGATTAAGCGAATCATTGTAATAAGGTTTGGATACCGGTGTAAAGAGATTTATCTAGAACCGATTATTCGAGTACTAAGAATTGCATGAGAAAAAAATGAGCATAAATTTTAATTTTTTTATTCTATTTTCCCATAGAAGAAAGACAGCTAAAGGTTGCGTAAGTTTTACAACTTCAAATGGTTAGTGTTTCTTCTTTTTTTTAAAAAAAACAAAAAATTCCATCACAAATAGTTCCAAGGTGAACTTATAATGTGGAAAGAATGTAATGTTGTTGGTGGAAGCTTATTGTCAAATTTGCCAGCTTCTGCATTTTCCATATGATCAGTTATTTATGCTTAGATCATGCTTTGCTTGTATCCCAACCACATCCCCTACACTATTAAGAATTGGAGTTTAGTTATCTAATTTTATAGTATAATATTAGTTGCTAGCAAGTGAACAAAAAACTATTTAGCGCTGAGCATGTTTCGGTTACATCAATCGAACTGAAGTAGTTTCTTTCTATCTTTAATACATATAATTTTATTTCAATTTTTATAAAAAAAAAAAATAAATCAAAAATTTTTCTGGTAAAGTTGAGATAGAACGGTGAAAAGGAGTGAGAAAATCGCTATTCCAACTCATAAATTCTGTAAATTTTATAAATTATTTCTCGAGATTACATTATCCTTGTGCAAAACAATATCTATGAAATTCTCGTTTTCATATTCAATATAAAAAAAAAATATATAAACTCATTTTTGATATTTACAAATAAATATTATATTCGTCAATCAAGTGGTGGTCTAGTTGGCTTTTTCACTTATGTGAGGATTTAGAGGTCTCAAGTTTGAGTTCTCTCGACTATTATTCCAATGAATTAAAAAAATAAATTTTATATTACAAATCCATATAATATATACATACACACAGTTTTTCATTTATTTTTAAATTAAAAAAAAAAAAGATAAGTATGGAAAGTAAAGAAGTTTGAACTCAATGTTACTAAGACCACCATTGTTTGGTTGCAATCGGATATTACAAGTAAAAGAAAATTAATCCAACCTACCAACAAACCAATCAATTAATTAAATTAAATACACAACCACTTCACTTTAAATCATAGTAGTCCCATCACATCACATACCATATATGTAATGTAGCAAAGCATAATCGGTAGAAATTGGCAACTTACAGCAACAATTCCTGCTAAACCCTAATTAAGACTCGAGCAACCAAGTCAAAACGCTTTCTGAACTCATAAATAACTCCTAATTAGGTAAGATAGTTACGTTTTTGGTGGGACACTTGAAATTTATGTGATTTATTTTGTCACACTCTCCAATTTACAGAAGACCTGTTATGACTCTCCACTCGTCAAAATGAAATAATTTTACAACGATTCAATCATAACTCTGTACTTTTACATTTTATTTTGACGAGAGACATTACTAAAATGTGAAAGTAGGATCATGATATGTCCTCTACAAATTTGAGGGTGCCACAAGACAAATTGTATAAGCTTTAAGGGCAAATTTATGCATTTTACTGTTTTTGATGACATATGTGATTGGGATTGAGGATATCTTGGGAAAACTGATTCAATCCGAAATGAAATTGAATCGACTCAATTTGATTTGATTTCAATTAAAAACCGAAGCCACTGTGATGGACCAAGTCGATTTGATTCTGTACATTTATCAATTCAATTTTTATCTTAAAATTAATTTACTCAGTTTATATTGGTCCAACTTGATTTGAATTAAATCAGTCGAATGCTTTCATCTATATATAACCTTATTCTTAAAATAAATCTTCTCAAATAAACTTTTAACGAAAATTACAAAAAAAATGATCCAATATGGTTAATTTAGTTGGTGATAGAGGAATTCTCCTATCTCATGATGCTCTTCCTCGAATCTGTGCTTCAATTTAGTGGGAAAAAAAAACATTGAGAACAATATATTTATACTTCTATACTACATATAGATTTGAAAATATGGGGAATAATGAAATTATCGATATCACTCTTGATGAGATTTGAAATATTCTAAAATAGTCTTGATTGTAACCAATTCAAAAATTACATTTTATACCAATATGTGTTTGGATGAGTGGTTCGACGCTCTTCTACTTTAACTGATGTCGATGTTTTAATCCTTATGGATGAAGCAAATACTCATTGGGAGCACTTTACTCCTTTTTGGTCCAACCCGGTGCAAACATGTTTTAGTTCTAGACCAGTGGATTCAGGATACTTGTGATTAAGACAAAAAAAAAAGAAAAATTATATTTTATTATTTGATTGGATATAATTTCTATAATAATTTTTAAATAAATACATCTAGATAATAAAAAAGAAAAAGAAAAGTATACTCTTTCTTTTCTATATAGTTGTAGGGAAAATTGAGGGTTTATTTGGCGAGGATAAAACATTTCTTTTATGTAATTTTTTTATTAATTTAACTATTTTAAATTTGCAACTTAGAAAAATAGAGAGATAAAATTAGATCCTAGCATTATTTGCTTTGTAATTTTCATTTATTGACTTGACTATAATCTTTTCTTTTTTTTTTGTCTATCAACATCAAATTTTGTTAAACTATAGCATTTTCGGTTGAGTTCTGAAAAGAGTTCTATTTTTTATAATAATTTTTTATTTTTTATTTTCTTTTCGTTACTGAATTAATTTGTAACAATTATCACAGTAATTTAGTAAGAGATTTATATCTCGGCGT